TTTGTGAATTAGTTGTTTTTTGTTAGGTTGTTGTAGAACTTAAGAAGGAGTTCTCCGCCTCCCTAGTTCATTATAAAGCCAGTGCGCTGTTGTAAAAATTTACTGATTTGCTTTCAGAAAGTTTAGCTCCTTTCTGCTGTGTATTTTTCTGCTTTAACGGGCTTAGTTTTTCGTTCTGAATCAGTGATTTTAGCTTCTCTTTCATGCATATTCTCGATGTTTTAGCTGAATCGTTGTGAGCTATGCAACATTCCGTCATTTCTTTGTTTCGTTGCGCTATCTTTTAGCAATCGAATCAAACCCGGTCTTAGTTATTTTTGTATTTGTTACAGGAAATGCGTGTAATGGATTTTTGGAAAGACGGGAGAGGGGCAGGAACTGCTCTCTTCATCCCAGCTTTGAATTTTTTTGAAATGAAATATTATTCCTGAAATTTTGTGAATTTTAAACTGTTTTGGCACTTTTGTCGTCGCATTCTGACGCAGTTTCGTGTCGCCGAAGTGGCTGACAGTTTTTTAGAAGAACTAGTATTACATATAAAATTGCAGCCTTTAATAGTTTGGAAGAATTTCTCTGATAAGAATTTTTTTTTTTTCTGGAAAAACGGGAGAGGGGCAGGAACTGCTCTCTTCATCCCAGCTTTGAATTTCTGTTATTCAGTCTACTGGTATGGTGGTAGAAAGCTGCACCCTCAAACATTGTCAGTGGTTAACTCATGTCTTAGTAAATCTTTATTTCTTTTTGGCAGTGAGGAACTGGTATTAACGCATGCTTAAAAGCAAATTTTAAAAAGTAGAGAGAGGGGAGGGGAGTGTCTATCGACAACTTTACCCCTTCTCGGTTTACTTCCGATTTTCTTCACCTCTTGTGACGATGGGGGTTTTTTGAGATACGCTTTTGTTTCTGCTTGCTTTTGTGCGATTGTTCGAGCTTTTATTTACAGTCAGCGATGTTTATTGAATTACTTCCAGGTTTTCAAATGCTTTCACTGCACCTAGCGTTTGTGGGATATCGTAAATGCGCTTGATTAATCGTACCATACTGTAAAGGAACTCTGTTAAAGAGAAAAGCGGAATGCTAATTTTTGCTTCATCAGCCCTTTTTGTACCAGAGCAGGTCCTCATTGTGCTCTCTGCTTTTTTGTCAGAAAAAATGTTCCACGAAAAGCGCTCTGCCCCCCTCGCTTAGCTGAGTTATCAGAATTATTATTTGTCCCAGTTGATGTGATTTTATCCGTTTTTATCATGATTTGCTAAACTTTGATACAGCCCCAGCGCTATTCAACGAGCTGTTGAAAATCAGTGTCTTATTGCGTACTCCTCCTTTATTGTTGCGAATCAGCCCATTATTTTTTTCGCTATCACAGATTGCATTTCATTCATTTATAATCGTCGAAGAATGACAGTTAAGTCTTTTGGAAGCTTCCCCTTATTCCTGACATGTCTTTGATCA